CTGTTTATGCTACCATCTGGTTTTCTTGTAAGTAAGACATCCAGGAAGACAATTAATTCTGTCTTGGAATTCCTCTTCGTATGTGAATTTCATAGTCGAATGTACTTCATTGAATTCAGTAATTATTGTACTCCTATCCGAATCATTATCACAAAGAATGAAGGTGTCATCCATTTCAAGAATTAGTTTGTAGGGATTGTGTTTGTTTCAGATTATAGACCACGAATTGAAATCAGTTAGAGAACCACTGAAATCCACTACGGAGTACTGGACAGATATTTCATCCAGTTTGAGACTCATTGGTAGAATATTGACAACATTGTGTATCTTATCTTCCTTTCTGTTTCACGCATGTCTATTCGACTTTATATCGATTTTTAATTCATACGTCTGATTATCAGTTCTTTACTCACGTATGTCAACGAAGTCAGATCATGAGGAGCCATAAATTGTGCTCGAAACGTGGTCATCAGTAAATATTACTGCATAACTGATATAAGTATAAAACTTGGCCACTGTGGCATAGTACAGTGTAATTCCATTATGGATAAGATTTTATTTTGATAAATCACACACAGTGCTGTTATACAGTAATATTTACTGATGACCACGTTTCGAGCACAATTTATTACTACTGCTCATTATCATATCAAGTCACTCACTCACACAACTTTTTCCTTCATTTATATACATGAGTGGAATTGACTAAATATTTGAATAAAAATCAACATGGGATAATGTACATTGAGAAATACTAATACGAGTGTTATCGATCAATTGCAATTAGATGGGAAATAAGACGAGTGTTGTTACAGTCATCAGTAATAAGTAACCTGTTAGAATGTTGTGATGTACGTGAACTGAATTGAAACAGAATACAATTTGAGATTATTTATTATCCTCCTCTGATTTCACTGACTGACTTACTGACTGGTGGTAATAATATCTTCCATGCATATTTCTGGTATTTGGATTGTGTCATTTCTGTTGCATGTGTTCTGTTGTGTGTAGACTCAATGAACCAGTGAGGATTCAATCTCTCTCGCTCTCCACCTACATAGATTACTTCTTAGAATCCTAACCAGCTCCCACCACGCTATTGTGTGGTTGTTTGTTGATTCAAGTAGTGCAATTGCTGAGCTTTTTTCTAAATTACTTGTCTTCGTGAGTGGGGTCAACCATTCTTACCTCAGCCACTAAATTCTTATGTTCCGACAATCTGATTACCCCCGATCTACTAGTTTGACCTATGTAGTTGACTTAACTCACAGTGATTGCAAGGTATTTTGTAAATGATATTATTTTGTTTAATTGGGTCAACTGGGTGTTTTAGCCTACAGAGCTTGTCCTACCTGAGTGAGTTTGTAGGTTTGAATGCCGCCCTAATTTCTGCTTTATTAAGAAACCTACGTAGGGTCTCAAATATCCCCTCCTTATATGGTATAACAGTATAATACTACTGTATAACACTGTTTGATTTGTCAAAATAAATATCTTATCCACAATGGAGTTATACTCTACCACAGTGCCTAGTTTCTTTGCGTAATATATTGTGTTCTTATTAAATTGAATTTCGCGTTGGTTGATACATAGTAGTGAGTTAAAATCTCAGTGGGAAGACTATCCTTCACTTGGACAGAGAGATAAAAATACAACCAGACGACAAGTCTTAAGGAGGACAAAATGTAAACGTCCTGGACTCGACTGCTAATCAACATGAACCAAATAGTGTCAATGGAAAAGGTAGTTAGTTAAGGCACTCAATTTTTCACATATGGTATCACAGTTGAGTATGTAGAGAGAAAGGGTGACAATTTACCCATATTAAAAGTTCTCTAGGAGCTTCGGTGTTCTCTTCACAGAATGATCACACACACACACATACACATACGATACGGGATTCAATTTCCGAAGGACATATTCCAAAACCTCTCCTAGTTTCACTAGCCAGCAATAAGGTCAGATAGAAAGGAAGGTTGGGCGCCAAGCTAGTAACATACCTCCCCCTACCCCGCCCCAAGTTATCGTTAAAAATAAAAAGAAAAACAAGACACTACTGAAACATCAGAAATGCTCAGAAGACCGAAGGAATGGAAATGGTAAGTCCTATAAATTGATTCCCATGATGGTATTATTGATCAGTATTTTGAACGAGGGTCCCTCACGCTAACAAAAAAGGGCACGCTTTAAAAACTGTGCAATCATAGGAGACATCAAAGGACTTCAAAATATAATAAACAAAACTGCGTGAAATGTTACAAAAAAAATTGACCTCAGACTTACAAGTATTAGAAAAAGGCATTTAGAAGACAAATTTCGCGAGATGATATCATTAAGTATTTTCCTTACAATCACTTTACAACTAACACGATTCACAATGATAAAGTACAATAAAAAAGCTTGATAATTTCTCAGTTATACAAAAAAAGGACATACGATGTTTGCTAATGACCAATCATATTTAAATAGGTCAAGTAGTCAGTTTATGGTAGGCAAAGGAAGGTTGAAGTTTGTTGTGTTTTTTGTACACATAGTTTAGTATGATGTATGTGATTATTCTAAAGTGCATCCATCACCTGTAGTAACCATGAGTTAGAGTTATGTGGTGAAATAATTGTGAAGTAGTCATTAATATTGATTTTGTGACCTTGACATTAATAAGTGTTTTGCAATGGCTGATGATGGTGATGATGATGGATTTCTACTCAGATTAATTGCATTGGAGTTTTCAATGTGTCTTAATAACCGTTTTGGAACAGGTTGCTTCGACTACACGACATTGGAACATTCCATTGGTTCTACCTATATTAGTGTCACTGCAACTGCAGGTGAACTTGTGGATACGGTTTGAGAAGCATAGTCAGTGACTCTAAACTATAGCAGCCTAAACCGAAACTACCTAGCGAACGGACCAGTGACCTTGAGCATCCAATCAGGTGACTCCGTGTTATCCAGACGTAATTATGGATGCTCTACACTTTTTGCGTTGCGAATTCTCTCCTGATCTTGTTTTTGATTACTGTTTGGAGAACAGCCTGATGGGAAGGTTGAAAAATCGTCAATATGGAGGTGTCGTGCAAATATAAAGATACACTAGGTGCATTGATGGGTTCGTTTACAGGTGCGATGAGTGCCGAACCAGAAAGTCAGTTAGAGAAGGTATACTGTTTTCTTTTGTAGTTTACAGGTTCCGTGGGTACTTTTCTCGCCAAGTCTAAATTACCTCTATCGAAAATTTTAATGATGTGTCATAACTGGGTGTTTAAAAGACCAGTAACAACAACGGCGTATGAATCAGAAGATTCACAAGTGTCTGCAGTGCAATGGTACCAGTACTGCAGAGGCGTAACATAACATCATGGAGAACGAACAAGTAAACTCAAGTATATGGCGGAGTTGGCATCATTGTTCACCTGGATGAGATAGTGCTGATAAAACGGAAATATATAATCGAGGGAGATTGAGCGCGAATCAACAGTGGGTGTTGGGGATATATGTGACACCATCCTTCACAAAGGATACATTGAGGTGATCCCCAATCGCAGTGCAGATGTCTTATTGCCTATTATCCAACGCTTAGTAGTGCTGTCTGGAACAACTATTCATATAGGCGAATGGAGTGGTTATAGTCACCTATCAACCCTGGGCTATATTCATCACATCGTCAATAATACAAATAATTTCATCAAGCCTTTCGATGGAACTCACACGAATTCCATTGAAAAGTTTTGGAGTCACCTCGAAAAAAAACCGGATCAGATCTGTGAATGGATCAAGAAATGCAATGATATACAGTTATCTCGATGAGTTTATGTACAGAGCTGGGTTTAACATAATTATGAATACTCCTATGAGAAATTGGGAGGTTTTTTTGGAACATTTACGATAACGTTATCCTTTGCGACTATTTTTTAACACTGCATTACTTTTATATACACGTTTTATTAAAATTATGCGCCGTTTTCATAGAGGCTTCTGATTGGTCAAAGTTGTCATTGTCAAGGTCATTTGTCCGTTCGCTAGGTAGTTTCTGTTTGGGCTGCTATAGTTTAGAGTCACCACATAGTCTACAGAATTTGGTCTTGTAATTGTAGGTGCAAGGACCGAAAATATTCGAGATGTGAGGAGAAGAGATGCAGCGTAGAATGTGCCCTCACTCAGATATTTGGATGAATATGATAAAACAGAGTGACAAAGTTTTCGCGCTATGTTGTTAATTGGCAGAAGTTAGAATTCATGAGCTGGCTGGCCATTGGATCAGGTCCCAGTGGCTTAATAGCCAACGAGCTAGCTCGCCATGTAAGCAGAAGGTCCTGGGTTTAAACCGTGTTTGTGGGTGCGTACTGCTGAAGAGTCCCGAACCAGGCTGACGAAGCAGCTATCGAGTACTCCCTGTTGGTTTTTCAATGGCCCTCTAACAGATGTCAGGGTTCATGATGAAATCCAGAAACAGAAGAGTTATAAAAAGTTTACAAAAAAATCAAGCTGAAAGAAAACAACAACTACTGATAAACTGTCAACTACTGTAGGCAAAAGGCACATACATCCGGCTGATGAGTCCCAAATAAGTCGAAACGCACATCCTGGATTCCAGTGCTAGTCACTACAAAGCATAATAACATCTTGCTAATCCTTATATGTATCGTCGAAGCATCCGTATTAGGAGCCAAGATGTCAACACACACCCAGCATTTTGAGGCAGTATAATCATTGACCAAAGGAAATGCAAACTTAATATGAAAAAAGTCTTATTTAAGTTACCAATAGGAATCAGGAATTACTTATGGGTTCGAAATTGACATCAAATAATAATAAGACTAACAAGGGTTCGAATCTCAGAAAGGACATGAGTTCCTTCAAGGTTGCAAATAGGCCTTGCCCTGACTGGTGAGTGCCAACTAGCAAGAAACCTAGGTCAGGCAAGGCTTCCTGTGGCCGATTGCCTCCAACCACCTAATATCATCAAAACAAGATTCATTTAAACGAAATTTTCTACTCACGGCCTTGTTGACATGATTCCACTGAATCTGTGTGATTTATGCTCAACGCTTCTATACTCCTGCAGGATAAGAGAAAAGAAGAGGAAAAAGTGATTTAATGACAAATACTTCAGTGGCGGATATATATTCTTGAGGTACCTGGAACAGAAAGAGCATTAGGTGTATTGTGTGTGTGAAGAGCTCGAGGAGCAACTTACTTACTTAAGGTCAATCGAAAAACACCCACCTTTTTCATTAAATGGTTTCTGTCTGGGGTTGTGTTCGTATGAAGTTCGTATCTTACCGTCCGACGACTACGGATACATACAAGGTGAGTCGGCGGGGTCGAATTTTTCTAAACCATCCTGAATATAGCAGAGGGGCAATATATAGGTGACATGTTAGTTTTGTCCGAGGGAAACACCTTACACTGCTGTAACATATCCATTTGCCAGTAGTACGACTTTGATTGGCTACAGAACTCCAACATCGTGTAGGCGACAGCTTTTAGTCTACCCACCATACAAACAACCTTTCCAATCACGGTAGGACATCATCTGCAGGAATATGCAGTCCGGCCAGTGTACCTAATTAGGTTACTACTATAATATAGCAAAAATATTCATTCAGACATCGATAAAACACAAAATAATTGAGCAAAGAATATCCTCTCCGACAATGTCCTCCTCATCTGGCTCTACAATGATATATACATATATGTTTAGATACATAGAATATTCTAGAATAGCAGTCAATAACAATATTAGTGTGCTTTTTGAATAATATCTATTTGGAAAGTAAGATCACAATGGAATTACAGTTCATTAAAGATGATTAAATTATAATAATAATAATAAAGATATAGTAGCCAATAGAATATCAACTAAAATTAGGAAAATTCCACAAAAATTCATCATCATTCAAACCTAAATGGCCAAGGTAAAGATAATGTCTGAAATAACTTCTTTTGGATGCATAAATTAGGCTTGTTCATATGGATCCCCACAGCCAGCCTCAGCAATATTTAGTAGTCGAACTCTTAAGGCAAAACTGAGATTTGTAGGTATGCGGTAAATTACGCTGAAAGCATGGTTTACATCAATTTTGTGTTCTGTATCCACAAGATGAGATAGAATAGCGCTATAAATAGATTTTGTCTGTCCTTTACTTAACCAGGCTGGGTGATGTTCGTAAATCTGACGAGAAACACGTCGAATTGTACGACCTATGTAACTGGCCCACTCCACAGGAGCAGTTAAATTGGTAGATACACATGGAAGAGGCGAAATTAGGCAGTTCGTCTTTTAACTGAGTCAGGTAGGGAGATGCAGACTCCCGGGTTGGGGCCCTCGGGACTCTAGGAATCAATGGCTGGAGACAATAGGTGACATGGCTCAAAATCGTTGTCAATGGCCAGCGCAGGTGTATTCAGTCTCTGTAATCTTTCATATTCCTTCCTACCATTACCCATTCTGTTTCACTCTCATACTTGTCAAACTCTATTGATTCTCTCCACTCATCTTCTTGTCTACCTCTGTGTGCTATTTGGAAGGTGGCAACTCGAACTGCTGCACTTCGGTGCCAAGTTCTATGTTGAATCCAGACAGACAGATAAAGGGAGACAAGAGACAGACACTTCGTCTTTTACTCCCGAACGCAAAAGAGGAGTGATTTTGAAGACAGCAGGGAATCCTCTTTTACTACTGCAATAAGCAAACCCGACCATTATACATCAGGATAACAGCTAAATTGATCGCGAATGACAGACGTATAACTCATTTTTATTAAAAAGAACAGTTGCAACTGGACTAAGAAGACTTTGCTGACTAAGTGAATTTTTAAGGCAGAATTTTGAACAGAGGTGGGCAGACATAAAGGATAGTGACTATAGAGAGCGGGAAGGCACCAGTGACCTCGAGGGCTTTGCTTGGATTACACGACTTGCCGTATACTCTACATCGAAAAGCCATTTTATTAGCGACAAATCGAACGATAAAAACCACTATAGTAATAATAATGGAACATGCTGAAGATGATATTTTACCCTGACATAAGTTAAAAAAAATACTTCCAAATTAGAATGAAGGGTATCGGATTCTAAGTTTCATAGGTGTCAAAACGATTTAACATCTATCTGAAGGACGAAAATCCACCTTACTTGTAAGAAAAAAAGGCAATAATGTACGGACATTAGATAATTCTCGTGTAGTTACTTATAAGTAGTATGTTATAAACGTGTATAAAATTACATGCGTTCAATAATGAGTATGAAATTCTCAGGTGTTGGTTCACGATAAGTTTTATTGGTGTAACGTTTGATCACTAGTTGTAATCAGTCAAGAAGAGAAACACTGAAAATCACCAAAGATTACTGCTAGACAACCTGCTAGTCTCATCCTACTTCTGGAGTCTTCAACTGTACGTGCAGCTATGAAGTCCGGTATTATTATTATTATTATTATTGTATCCTTTAGTTCCTAGAGGAACATAGGGCTTCAGCTGCGCACCTCCATTGACTTCGGTTTTCTGACAACTTTTTCACCCTGCTCCAGGTCTGTCCACATGCTTTCATCTCCTCCTCGCATGACCTCCTCCAAGTCACCCTTGGACGACCAACTCGCCGCCTCCCTTTCGGGTTCCACTCGAGGGCTTGTCTAGTGATGTCACTTGATGGTTTCCTCAGCGTATGGCCAATCCATCTCCATTTCTTTCTGCCTATTTGTTTCACAATCGGTTCCTGATTGGTTCGCTCCCAGAGATCCCTGTTGCTGATCTTTTCTGGCCATCTGATCTTGAGTATTGAGCGGAGACAGTTGTTAATGAAGGTTTGAAGTTTGTTTGAGATGCTCTTTATGACTCGCCAAGTCTCTGATCCGTATAGTAGCACTGACTTCACATTGGAGTTGAAAATCCGGATCTTATTTTTGATGCTGATTGCTGTTGACCTCCACACAGATTTGAGAGTAATGAAAGCTTGTCTTGCTTTTCCGATTCTGGCTTTGATGTCCTCGTCAGTTCCGCCTGTAGTTGAGACGATGCTTCCCAGGTAGGTGAAGGAGGTTGTTTCTTTCAGGTTCTTCCCATTTATGCTTATTGTTGTCTGTTGTGTTGTTGCTGTTGATGTTGGCTAGGAATCTTCATCATCTCTGTTTTATCTATGTTCACGTGAAGTCCTATCTTTGATGCTTCTTCTGCCAACTTGTTACTTTTCACTTGCATATCTTCCAGTTTATGGGAAATCAGACATATATCATCGGCGAAATCCAGATCCTCCAAGTCTTTTGTGTCAGTCCATTTTATGCCTGTTCCCTCGTTGGTTGCCGTTGTCTGTCGCATTATCCAATCAATTGCAATCAGGAAGATCATTGGTGATAGTAGACAGCCTTGCCTCACTCCCGTCCTCACTTCGAAGGCTTCCGTAAGTTTCCCGTTGTGGATTACTTGGCATGCAGCATTGTCGTATAACTGTTGGATGAGGTGTATAATTGTCGATGGGACCCCGTAGTAGCGAAGTAGTTTCCAAATGACCTCTCGATCGACGCTGTCGAAGGCCTTTTCAAAGTCGATGAAGTTGAGATAGAGAGGTGACTGCCATTCCAAGCTTTGTTCAATGATGATCCGTAGAGTGGCGATTTGATCAATACATGATTTGTTTCTCCTGAATCCAGCCTGTTCCGGACGAAGTTTTTCATCTAGGGCTTGTTTGATTCTCTCCAGGATGATGCGACTTAGTATCTTGCTTGGAATGGACAGAAGCATAATTCCACGCCAGTTTTTACATTGACTTAAGTCTCCTTTCTTTGGAAGTTTGAATAAGTAACTGTTCTTCCAATCCTCGGGTACTTTGCCCTCTTTCCACACCTTCTCCAGTAGTGGTGTCATCAAGTCCGCTGTTGTCTCTGGGTCTATTTTCAAAGCCTCTGCTGGGATTCCATCTGGTCCCGGTGTTTTCCCAGTTTTAAGCATCTTGATTGCATTCAGGACTTCTGATTTCGTCGGGGGGTCAGTGTTCACTGGTAGTTCTGCTTCCGTTGTTGGTATTGCTGGACGTGTTGTAGGTGGCGGACGATTTAGAAGTCTTTTGAAGTGTTCAACCCAGTGCTTTCTCTGTTCCACCTCTTTGGTGATTGACTTTCCATTGTCGTCCTTTATTGGCTTAATCTGTGTCGAACGTTTGCCCGAAAGGTTCCTAGTTGTTTGGTAGAGTGTGGCGAGGTCTCCTTTGCCTGCAGCTTGTTCTGCTTCGTTTGCCATGGTTTCATAATATTTTCTTTTGTCTTCCCTGGCACTTTTCTTCACTCTTTTGTTCAGTGTATTGTAGCTTGCATTCAGCTCCTGTTTTTGTTGCTCGTCGTGCACTGGATAATCTTTTGCTTCACTGTCCTTCTCTCTTCTATTAGTTTCCAAGTGTCCGTAGTGAGCCACTGTTTGTCCTGTCTCTTTTTTCTGCCTAGAATTTCTATGCAGGTTTGGCTCCACACCGTTTTCAAGTTGTTCCAGTGCTTTTCAACGCCGACCTCTTCGCTAGTGTTGATTTGTGTCTCGGCTTTGTCCTTTATGCTTGCAATGAAGATGTCCTTTGTAGCCTGGTCCTTCAGCTTTTGAGTGTTGAACTTGGCTTGTGGTCTATCTGCAGCTCCTGATTCCCTGAAAGCTTTTAATTTGATTTGGATTGTCCCTTGTACGAGATAGTGGTCTGAGCCAACGTCTGCTCCTCTTCTTGCTTTTGTGTCCAGTAGGCTGCGCCTCCACTTCCTTGAGATTGAGATGAAGTCGATTTGGTTTTTGGTTTGCCCGTCTGGTGACACCCATGTAGCCTTGTGGATATCTTTGTGCTTGTATACACTGCCACCAATCACCAGTTCGTTGAAGGCGCAGAAGTCGGCGAAGAGTTCTCCGTTTTCATTCATTTCTCCTAGAGCTTCTCTACCCATGATGAGTTCCCTTCCCGTATTGTCTGGTCCCAGTTTGGCGTTCATGTCTCCCATTAGTATTTTCATGTCGCCAGCTGGAGTATTGTCCATTGTTGCCTGTAGTTGCCTGTAGAATTCTTCTTTCTTCTCGAGGTCTGCGTTGTTTG